ATCATTTGAATTTTTTTTTTCCTTCGCAAATTTCCCACATAAAAAACATAATATCTCTAACGAGCTACTATCAACATATTTAACCACACGTATGCATGATTTTTGTATAATGCTAAGACAATATACTCCTCATACCACCATGAATACTCGCTATCTTGATATCCTAAATATATTATATTTTATTTTTATTGAATATATCATATTTCAATTTATTTTGCAAATAGGAAGAGAGGGATGGCACTGTGGGTAGAGATGTTGGCGGACCATTAGAAGATATATAGGCTTTCGCATGGAGTTATAATGTGGTGCGTGAAGTCAAATGACCAAGAGTTCATGGTTTAAAAATAATAAACATATCTTAAAAATTATATTGGATGATTTAAAAATAACTTTGCTTATTTGTTAAAAAAAATAGCACTTAGTAAATATTAATCAAATTTATTTTATTTAAATTTTAAGAAAATATTGCTGAATAGTTCTTTAATATTCATAAATTCTTATAAATTTGATTAAGCGTGTGCAAAAATATGTATTATTATTTCATTTATTTTGAATGGATGACAATTTTATAAATAAAAGAGATTTATATTTTGATGAAATGTGCATAACTTTCACTATAAAAAGCAATAGTCTAAAATTATTCATGATCATTGATTGATCAATAAAGAAATTTGTTTCTCAAAATCACTACTTCTAAATTCTAACGCATATTATGGCATGCCATAATTTAAAATAATATATGTTTTTTAAGTTAAAAAAACAACATAAAAATGTAAAAATTAAAATAATTTAATATATTTTACTTATTTAGATTGTTTGTTAAAGAATGGTGAACCATAATATGTGTTAGAACTAGTGATTTTGTAGAAATAAGTTTCTTTTCTAATGAATCAATAATCACAAATACTTTCACCATTAATAGATTATTATTTCTTAAAGATAGATTTGTGTATATTCCATCAAAACGAAAGCTCTCTTATTTATAAAATTATCATCCATTCAAAACAAATGAATTAAGAATATATTTTTTTTGACATGCTATATCAATTTATTAAGAATTTTATGAATATTAAGGAACTATTTGGCATCATTTTTTAATTTGAATAAACTATATTAGATTGGTATTTAAAAAGTGTTACTTTTTTGTTTTTAAAATAAGTAAATTTATTTTTAAAACATCCAAAATTAATTTTTAGATATATTCTTATTTTTATAAACTTCCAACCATTCAACCTCAAGCACCACGTTGCAACCCTACGTGGAAGTCAATATTGCCTTCATATCCAGTAACATCTCTAGCAAGTGTTATTCCCCCTTCCAAACTACAAAATAAATTGACTGATGAGATCTTCAATAAAAATATTCAAATAACATATGTTTACAATATCAAAATAGCAAATATTCATGGTGGCAGAGAGAGTACATCATCTTGGATTATACAAAAAATTAGCATATAAGCAAATAAATAAGTTGATAGTATCTCATCAAAGACATGTTTTTCACATAAAAATTTCAAGAAGAGAAGATATCATCGCGTCTAACTCAATTAAAATGATTCCTCTATTTTCAATTGTAAGTTATAAAAGACTTCGTTTCCGTAATAGGAAAATCAACAATGCAATGAAGAAAGCTATAGATTTCTTTAAATAATAAGGTAGGGTTACTAACGGAAAAAAGGCAAAAAATTCAAACATTATACTTAATGGATAAAATGATAGAGGTTCTTGAAACTAAATTAAAGAACATCAAAATAACCAAGAGAGCGGCAAGAATCTGACGCCGACTAAGGAGTTGAGAAGAAAACACAACACCAACCTTGGGCAGGAAAAAATGACTGACAACCTTAAGGAAGGAGAAGATGAGTTGGTACAATAATGCTCTTCATTCATCATTCATTTATATAATATAAAAGACTAAACCTTTATATATAAAAGGGTTAATCAAAAGAAAATAGCATAACAATTAACTCAATACATGAAATAAACATGATGATAAAATAAAAAATTAAGTTGTTGTCGATATATCCAATGGGAGAAGGATCAATGGGCTAAAATGGCATGCATATGATACCTATTAAGATATGGTAATTGTTAAAATCTCAACCGTCCCTTGACACTTAATCCCATGACTAGGATGGGAATCCGTGGGAGGCTCACCTAGATCATGCCAATCTCTGTTAAATCCCAGCCGTCCCTTGACACTTGATTCCACGGCCATGATATGAATCTGTGGGCTCACCTAGATCACATTGATCTCCTTCCATATTTGGGTGGCTGATTTAGGAAGGATTATATTAGGAAAATTATGCATGATTCTGTAATTATTTGTTTCTTTATTAAGATATCATGTATAGATTTATAAATAGGGATAGTTTTGTATAATAAAATTAAGCCTCTTCCCTCTCCAATTCTCTAAATTTAACATGGTATCAGAGCCTTAAATCAAAGGAAGAGGAGAGGAGAAACCGACCTTCATTGCCAAAAATATGAGGAATAAATCCCACCACCACCACTACTAGCCTTCATTGATGGAATTATGGAGAATACAAATTCTAACTATCTACCTTCATTGCTGAAATTCTAAGGAATACTGGTCCTTCCACTAGCTTCATTGTCGGAATTTTGAGGAATACAGGTTCCCACAATCGGCCTTCATTGCTGAAATTCTGAGGAATATTGGCCCTTCTACCAGCCTTCATTGTCGGAATTATGAGGAATACAGGTTCCCACCACCGACCTTCATTATAGGAATTCTGAGGACCTTCGTGCATCCAATACCAAGAAGAGATCGAGCTAGAGGGATCCTCTTGCATGCGACGTCCAAAGTCGACAGAGCAGAAGCAAGCGCAAAACCTCCTCCTGCGTGTGTTTGGAAAGAGTCGAGAGTTCCCTCTCATGCGGGGGCAGGGACAAGCAAGAGTGCAAAACCAGCACTCCCTCCTACGATCAGACCAAAGGGATCAGAGGCCTTGCATGCACTTGTTCTTGCTGATCAAATAGGAGTCTGTTCAGGTAGAGTAAGACGACCTGAGAAGGAGGAGATTTATGTGCCAAGTGTTGAGTTGCTTGAGACGTGTGTTTCTGCTCCTGGCCTTGAAGCTTGCCGCAATCCTAAAAATATTTTTTTTTCTTCATTCTACTATCGTGCCCTCATTGTCGGCCTTCCCTTGAGAACCGAGAGGGAGACAGACACAAAGTATAATTAATCCACTTTACCTATTATCTCACCACTGGCCTTTATTTCCATTTTTGATATCTTGAGGGCTATTGTTCAATGCAGCCTTCATTGTTGCCCTGTACCTTGCAAGCTTGATTGAGATAGGCTTCATCGCTATCCTTTGTCGCAATAATGTTTGAAGCTAATTCCTCCCAAAGCTTTGACCAAATGAACGATCCTATGGTGCCCCAAAGGACTTGATAACTCTACTTTTTTTGGACTAATTATCAAGTTGAGAATAATAGATTTGTATTTCCCAGCTTGAGGGGGGAGTGTTACAATCTCAACCATCTTTTGACACATGATCCCATCCGTGGGAGGCTCACCTGGATCACGCCAATTTCTATTAAATTTCAACCATCCCTTGACACTTGATCCCACACCAGGATAGGAATCTGTGGGAGGCTCACCTGGATCATGCCGATGTCCTTCCATGTTTGGGTGGCTGATTAAGGAAGGATTATATTAGAGTAATTATGTATGATTATGCAATTATTTGTTACTTTATTAAGATATCATGTATAGATCTATAAATAGGGATAGTTTTGTATGATAAAATTAAGCCTCTTCCCACTCCAATTCTTTGAATTTAACAATAATTAATAACTCTGCACAATCACATCTAATAGTAGCATTTTAGCAACATCCAAATTTCCTACTGCAACTTTATTAAGTTGGATAATTTTAATTTTTAAGGTTGAAAAATAGGAAGAGAATGTTGCAATGGATAATATCAATAAATTTACTTGGGTTGCATTTATCTTGGTCCGTAATCATATAACAAAAGTCTTCTTTGGTTCATAAAATGCCATCAAACTTATAATTTGTTATTAAACTAGAAAACTTACATCAATACAACAAAAATTAGTCATTCCCAATATATTTTCTAGAGTAAATGCCCACTTTTATTGTAGATAAAAGATATTATATATATGTATATATATAAGAAATAAATTTTCAAGTCTTAACTCTTAAGCCTTTACAAAAAAAAATTCTTAATTAAAAGCCTTTACAAAAAAAAAAAATCTTAATTACCATGCAATGACTAAATATATGATAAGTCACCTAACAATTGAATAATTGATAAATGATTTGCACAAATCATACATATCCATGCAAAATATGAAATGACTCAATCATATGTCCTCTACGGCTCTACATATAACTACGTGCAACTTCAACTCAACCAAAGATAATGAGAAGAGTAGTCGAGCAAGATGGAATGTAGTCCCTTTCCCCATATAACGTGCTAGAATTGCTCTATTCAAAGGTGGGGTTGAAGGAAGAAGCAAGCCATAATTGAACTTACAGCAGCTGAGGGCTGTTTTTAATAGTGAAGCAAACCATAACTGAACTTATCAGCTGTGGGCATAGGCTGTTTTGGTACAGTTATAGTTGGTACTCTACTGCACTTATCAACTACTAAGTTAGCATTATAAATACTTTTTTGCTGTTCTTTCTTGTTATCATCTGCATTTTAATTAAATCATACTTGGAAAATCCTTCAGATCACCGTCTACCCATGCTTCTTAATTTTTCACGCTTTAAAATTAATTCTATTTCTACAAAGCTGTCAATTATCCTTCTGGCGTCCTACCATTCGAAGTTAATCTACTTTCAATATCTTTAAAATAGGTAGCATTGCTTAATCTCTCTCTGGTTTATGGTGAATCCATGATAAGATTACCACGCTTATGCCCAAAAATCCATACTCTGAAATCCTATGAGATGAAAAGAAGGATAAAAATGTAAGATTGGCCATGCTGCACTGGATAATTGCTCACCTTCAAAGGCAGTAACAAGGCCTAGCGCTTCAGGACTCCAATTAAAACCACGAATAGCAGCATAAACCCCAGCATAATCCCTGATCCAAAGACACTGCCCAATCTTCCAAGCAGCCACAACTTCTGCCTGGCTCTCTTTAATCCCACTAGGAATCGACTTCCACAGAAATCTGGCGCTGTTGCTGCATGCCCAGATATTCTCATAAGCCAATTAATGGAAATCCCAGTGAAAATAATGAGATGGAAACAACTAAAACAACTGGACTTACAGATCGTTTACGTATAAATGTCCTAATAGATGGATTGAATACGGCCACTCTTTTTGGAAAGAAATCCCACTCGATGCAACCTGAATGTCGAGTAAATTTGCATGGAACATAGAAATTCACGAATGGCAGTAGAAATGAAAGAGGTGCAAATCCAAAAGTTTGCCAAAACGAATGCATAAAACCCTAGAAAACCCCTAAAGAGCTTACCTGAAGCATGAGCTCGTCACAGATTTCACCTATTCTTTGAAAGGATTTGGATGCCAAGGCATCTTGTAGCTCCAATAGGTCCATCAATCGCTGAGGGAGAATAGAAAAGGGAGAGCAAGCAAATGAACCCAACTAGTCCGCCCCTTCCAAACCGGAGAAGCAGATTTATGTATGCGATGATCAACCATGAGCGCTACAATTTCATATAAATGCATTAATAATTAGAAAATTATCTAGTGGGTTTAGAGTTTTTTATTGCTTTTTAAAACTACGTACGAAAATAAAAAATTTTGTGCTAAAACTCCATTTTAGAAATCAGTAAAAAAACCGTCCCAAACGAAGCCTTAGTTTGGTTGGTTGACGGGCATATTTGAGAATCCCTAAACTCATACTTGAATCCTCTTTCAAGCCTCCTTTGAGGGAACTTTTATTTGGTCCGGTCACCAAACTAGATCTACGTTCGGACGTCAGTAAAATAATGCCACGTGTTCTTACTCTTTATCACGCGGCCCGACAACCCGAACCGGAACGGACCCGGGATTGCTCTGTATTGCTCAATATTGCTCGGTATTACAAGGTATTGGTCGATTTTGCTCTGCAATAACAAAAATATCATTCTGTGAAGACCAGTACCTAACAATACCAAGCAATACCGAGTTTTTCTCGGTATAACTCTGTATTGCTCGGTATCGGTCTTCACAGAGCATTATTTCTCGTTTTTGTCAAGCAATACCTAGCAATACGCGAACATAGTAATTTCGGGTTCCAATCAGGGTCGGGTCGTCGGCCGCGCGGTAAAAATTAAGAAGACGTGGCGAAATATTATTGGCGTATGAACGTAGAGCTACGTCAGGTCACCTGACCTAATAATTGTTCCCTTTGAGGGGAGTAGTAAAGCGTGAGTCTGGCGGAGTAGCAAAGCGTGGGTTTGGGTTGGCTCTGTTAGGTTTCGCCGATGAATTAGTTAAGGCATCATGCATCTCTTAAGAGGTGACAACAGGTAGATACCCCAGTTCCAAATAATAATAATAATAATAATTAGAAAATTATCATTTAAGCCTTAAAATATATGCATTTATGTATAATTATTTTCATAATATCTTTTTATAATTATTTTTATAAAATCTTTTCATAATATCTTAAAATATATGCCTCTTTCAATACTCTACATATAATGTTTTAGCATTTTTTAACATATTTCTCTAATTTTTATAATGAATGTTGCGAGTTCTTTTAGCCTCTCAATCTCTACATATATCAATTGTATAAGTATATTATGTTGAATATAAAACAATTAGTGACTATATTTTATGGTAGTCATAAACATTTATCAAACCACATTAAAATGTTTTGTATTTGTTCCTTAATAAGCTTGTTTACTTCTCAAGCAAAATAGTTTTCATTCATTATTTTGAATCATAAAGTAATTTGATTCTCCAATATTGCTTATCCAAATAAGCAAAATAAACTAATTCAAATAATGTGAGAACTATATTAGAGTTACCCCTCCAAATGCAATCAAGACGAGACATCTAACTTTAATGTGGAGTTTTCATCCTTCCACCCCAAATGTTGCCCAATTAGTCATTATTATTTAATTTAATTCTAATTATTGGCAAATTGATCATCGATCTTTATCTTACCATCATTATTCATTATCTTAAGTCAATTCATATGTGGCTTTCAATAACCATTTAAAAGTTGTCTCCCTTTATCTATTGACATAATTCGGTTAATCGGTAACATACTACAACTATGATTATACCACTAATGTTTTATTTCAAAGAAAGCTCGTTGGTTCACCCTAATACGTAGGATAGTATAGTTTAACAACCAACTTGCATTAATTATAGTGTTAACAACTAATTTTTCTTGCTTATATTTATTTCATATCAGATACATCTCTCATGTAATATTAAATATATAAAATCTATATATTAATTTGTAGCTTTAGAAAATCATAACTTTCATTTTACTTAATACTACTGATATATTCTAAAAAAATTATCTTGATTGAGCACGAATCTCGAGGCAAAATCAAACTGGAAACTTAAAAAATTAAATCCGAGAGCACCCGAACTCCGATTTCATATAGCTTATAATCAAATTGAGCGTCTCGGAAATACGAACCCGACGACACTAAATTCAATTCAATCCCAGCCCAAATGAGCCAAAATCAAGCGCCTGAAATGCTGTTGGAAAGCTCGTACCACTATTTGAGTTACCAAACGGTATCCGATTTTAACGAGCTTATAGTCGAATCGAACGGCTTGACGAGACGAATCCAATGACCCTAAGATCGCCGAAATCCGACATCACTAAGACCTTAAAATGTATGACAAACGGTGCATGATCAAATGATTCAATATCAGTCGTCCATTCGGCCACTCCCTATTTGCCCCTAATATCACACCTATTTACAAGTCATGCCACTCTGGAAAAAATATAAATAGACCCCTCATTTATCATAAGAGGGGACCCAAGCAAGAAGGAGAGAAGAAGAGAAGAGAAGCACTCGAGGAAATAGCTCCTCCTCGACCACCGCCAGAATTCTTCTCGCCTACCGAACAACGCCGGAGTTCGGCCAGACATTCGAGTGACGCCGGAATTCTTCCCAAGCGACATAAAAGTCCTACTAGACGTCGGAATTCAGTCCAACTTTCGAACGATACTTGAATTCTGTCCAATCTCCTTAGTGATGCCAGAACTCTGCTCAACTTTGTAATTGAATCTCAACTTAGAAGAGATTCGTTGTAATCTGATCGTCTTCACTTTGTGGACGAGTCGGTCTCTTGTATTTCAAACAAAACACTAGTGAAACCATTTCAACTGGGCGAGGCCCCGTTGTTTTTTCCCTTTCAGGGTTTCCACGTAAAAATCCTTGTGTTCTTTTATCTTTTGTTTGTGTGTGCTAGATATTCGTACAACGCTCAGACGAAAATTTATAACTCTACCACCGCGTATATTCTAGCCCGCAACAACTACAGTCAAAATGCCATAAAAATATGTATTTATAATATATGAAAAGTTACAAGGTCAAAGAGCGATAAATCAGGAAAAAATATATGTTTATGATTTAAGAGAGATTAAATTCATCAAATTCAAAATTATTGAAAACCAGAGTGAGGCATGGATCACTTACAACGATTATAAGACTTTTCCTAACTGAAGCAACACACGTAAACAACAAAAAACCAGCTTTCTCTCTCTTCCTCTCTCCTCTCCATCTCCCTTCTCCCTTTCCTTCTTGAGCAAGGCATAACCGAAGTGGGGTGGTGGAGGCGTTGGGGTGCTTTAATGCTTAGGTTTTAGAATAAATATTATATAAAAATAATGTTAGTAGCTTAGCACTGTAACACGCCTACCCAAAGTCACAACACTGCATGTTGAATAAAAAATTATTGCATAACAGAGACTTCAATGTCGCGGCGGAGGTTTCTAGCGCCACTATGCTCACAAGCATAGTTTCGCAACGCTATCAAGCACCGTGTCAAAGCTTTCGAGTTCAAACAAAAATCCAAATTTTCATTTTAAAATATTTTTTCATATTTTGAGCTGTCGCACTTCCAACAAAATGTAATAATAAAATTCTTAAATGTTTACCATAAAATTGATTAAAAAAATAATTTATTTTTATATTGGAAATAGGCAAAATCTAAATCAAAATAGAGATCTAAAACAGAAAATAAGATAAAGTCATACAAATAAATAAAAATTTACACATGTTCACTAAATTCATGGATAATTCCAATGGTCTCTACTTTCACTATAAGTTGATTAATGAGAATTATAACTCCATTTTTTTGCCACAAAAATAAGACAATATATTATCTTTTAAGAAAAAAAATTAGGACACAAATAAATAAATTAAATAAATCATAACTTTTAAAATACCCATAATGAAATAACTCACAATCTAAATATTTTATGAAAAAAATTAAACAATATATTATAATATTATATACACATTTTTTTTATTAAGAAAATAATTTGATAATTATAACTTGCAAGTTGCAACACTTTCATTGACATTTACATCTCATCCACTGAACAATTAAAAAAAAAATTTCTAAGCGAAATTGCTAATTTTGTTTTGGAGCTACTAATTCTTGAGATATTTGGGTATAATAATACCTTAAAGAGACATAAATTTTTAATTACCGACATATTTATATGATAATTAAATTTACACTAATGACAGTTATGCAGATAATCAGTCTACATAGAAAAATAATAATGGATAAAGGGTCACAGCATTCTCATATTGCTATAATGGGAAAGTTTAGTATTTATAAATCTGACATTATGGTAGGGGTGTCAAATTCGGGTCACGGGTCGGGTTCGGGTCGAATCTGAAATTGATATGACACTATTTAGGTCAGCCTGAATTGATATGTTTTTACAAACGGGTCGGTTTTTCAAACTTGAACCCGATCAGTTTCGTGTTCGGGTCAATTCGAAATGACCCGAATGATCTGGAACAGATAAACAATTGCTAGTTTTCGGTTAAAAAACTGGTTAATCTCAGGTTTACAGATAAAAAATGAGTTTTTGAGTAAGAAAACGAGTCAATTTTGAGTTACTGGGTCAACTTGAATTCTATCCGATTTTTAAAAGGTATTGATTTTTTGAATCCGAACCCTACTCATTTCAACATAATCCGAAATTTTCGAATAGAATTTGAGTCATTTTTTTGTGCCTTGTGTCAAATATTGGGGAAGTTGACACCCTGCAGACCAGCATTTGATCCCCTAGGGTTTCGGGCAATCCAAATAGTTCATTCATTTCCATTTTTGTAATCGGGTAGTGACAGCTTTCGATCGGCTCCGAAGGCTGGGGAATTAGCAATTACAAGTTTACAACCCTTTTCCCAATCCCTCGCAGATTCCGGACTTGTTTTCCATAAGCAGAGCCACACCTGCGCTTCCTCCTCGTTTGATTTTGATATTTGAAGGTATTTGTAGTTCACATAGGTTTCTTTCTTTTCAGAGTGTGCGGATTCTGTGATACTTTTATTATTTTTGTATGCTGAAGAGACGAGTGGAATATGACGGAGACCTCCAAAGTCATTCACGTCCGCAATGTCGGACAAGAGATTTCTGAGGTGGATTTCCCTAGCCTTTCTGTTCTTTGTGGTGCTAACGATAGAAAAGCTTTACTATTGATGCAAACTGTTGATTTTTTTTAATTAAAGGGCTTTCTGGTTTTTTATCTCAGGCTGATTTGCTCCAGTTGTTGCAACCGTTTGGCGGGGTTACAAAGATTGTAATGCTTCGGGCCAAAAATCAGGTTCTATCTATTTTTTTTAAATTTACGTTTTTTGTTTTCCTTATGTTGTGCGATTTGTTCATCTGAGTTCTTGGCTATAATTCGTTTCTTATAAATTTCTTCCCGAGAATTTTTTTTTTTCAATTAATGGATTGGCGACTGTTGCCGTTGCAGTCCCTTCTCCAAATGTGCGATGTACCTTCGGCTATTCGTGCTATGGAGTACTATTCAAATGTCCAGCCCAGTATTAGGCAAGTTAGAAGTATTGATATATTGCTGTCTTAGTTCTTTATTGCCTTGCAATGACTTTCTAAATTTCTCCTTCCTCCCAAAATGTTACTTTTTGCACTATTCTTTGTTATTTGCACCTTTTCTTGTTTTCTTTTTTAGTTGCAATTTACTGGAGTCTACTGCATCAATTCCCGTACAAAAAACAAACCAAAGCGGCTGCTTTAAATTTTCTTTATTTATTTATGAATTCATAAAAATTTCAACTAATCTACTGTATTGTTTTTTTTTTTGGTTGCTAATTTTAGCACTGGCAATGCAGATAATGTTAGTCATGTTCATGTTTCGCAACTAAGATGCTGTAATGAATAATCTACTCAAGCTCATTATCGCGTGTGTGAAGAGTGACAAAGATAAATGACCACCTAGCTGTTAGGAAATAAACCTCTGCACTGTGTTGTCATCCAGTTGCATCTTTTTTGCAACATGCCTTCTTGCTTTTAACTTCATCCCAGTATTTTCTGTAAAATATCAAAACATTACATTCTTTAATAAATATTTAGAAGTCTAACTTTCAAGCAGCATTCTTTGGAACTGTTGAACTTGTATTGAGTGCCAGTTTTATCAATTTTAGAGTTTACTTGCCCAAAACCTTTAATATCCCCTTTTTTCTACTTTTTTGGATGCAAAAAACTGTCTAAATATTATTTTTATAAAGGTAGACCTCATGGGAAATTGGATAACATGGAATTTAAGTGAAAACCTGCAATTGGTTGAGCTTTCTAAGATATATATGCCCCATAATGCCCAAAATTGGATGAATATATCTATTGTTTCATTTCTCAAGGAAATATGCCCAAAAGTTACATCTGAATCAAAACACCCCTTTGATATGGCTCATTGACTACTCTTTAATTTGAATAAAATTTGAAGATGATTGGAACAAAATTTGATTAATGTTGAGATGATGTGTAATAAAAATTCATTCAATGATCGAGCATTTTTTAAATCCTAATCGAAATTTCATCATTCATATGTAAACAAAATTTTGCTTAAGTCATTGTTAAAAAAATTTATAAAATAGTTGAATGTCATGTTTGAATAAGATTTGTTCAATATTTGAACAATATTCACATTTGTGAAACAATATAGTATAATATAACATAATGCAATCACAAAAATCATAACACAATCAGGCAATTACAATAGGGGATACAATTTTAACTAAAAGTCTTACATTAAATCAAAATAATTGCAATATTTTACGTTAACATGTTATGTAAAAACATCAAATAAAATTTTGATACAACTGAATACAATATCGGCATCTATAACATAACAATATTACTAAAATGTGCCCAAATATGATTACATATATATTGCTATAAAGTTCTCAGCTTTGGCCACATCTATATTGCCATAAAGAGCCTAAATCTAATCACATATATATCACTATAAACTGTGCTTTTGAAGTTCATTAGGATTGAAGCCATTTTCATCAAGCAATAGTAGGTGTGTTTTCAATTTATAATTGTGAATTTAAGCCATTAAACTTTGCACTGATCTTAAGCAACACATCTAGTGAAAGCAGCACACCCAAATAAATATCTGTAACGCCTATCTACTTGTATACGAGTGGACGCATTCATATTTAAATATTGTATACTCGCCTCTTATATTCAACACAATGATGTCGTTAGCCTCAAATGGTTCAAAGTTGTCTAGCATTTATTTTCCATCACATCCTAATATTTATATGTGACCCGAACTTACATCTGCATGCATAGTAAGACAATTCAAATGAGTGCAAAAATAATAAATTTGAATTTTGCTCGAAGCTTCATAAAAAATATGATCAAACACTAAGCTATTGTTCAAAATTGGTTGTATATTCTTCATCTATTATTCAAAACTTGTTCGTAATATTGCTCAAAAGTTGTTTTGACCTTGATTCAAAACATGATCTAAGCTTCTTCGATTATTATTCGATTAGGGTTGCGAAGTATGAGCATGCTTCAAATAATCTTTGAAGCAGTTTCGTTCATGAGCTAAGCATATATTTATCAAGGTCAAAGCAAGTTTTGAGCAATGTTCAAAGTTGGTAATCTCATATATAATATCATTTTAGGTTTATCTTAGGGTATGAACATATAAATTAAATCACAAACCTTCAACGACAATCACTGGCTAGATGGAGACGAAAACGTTGCATTGGAAAATTTCCTTAGAAACATCACTCACAAACAAGGATCTTCGGAGAAGAAGGCGTTGAGAATATGAGATGTCTATTAATTTCTAGCATGAAAGGTTGCTTATAAAGGCTAGAGAGTCGCTTTGAATTTTAGAGGCATTTTGGTCCAAAGAGAATTTCTGTGTAAATTTCCCAAAGAAATGTAATGACAAACTACATTAATTTCAGGCATTATGAGGCATATAAATTCAAATTTTCCCATATATATGTATGTATGTATATATGATTTTCAATAAGTTAAAAAGTTAATGTTTTGTTATTTTTTTAAAATAGAATAGCTAAGCAAGAAATGATAAAAAATTATAGATCTTTATGGGGATCATCTTAAAGATTTAACCTTTGAAGTTGTGGACACAGTAAATTTGCAAAGTATACTTAAGCATCATCTAAAAGATGCATTACATTTTATGAATGAGAATTTTAGATATGCGGGTCATGGTTGATTGATTGCAGAGGAACTTAAAAAGTACTACAAGTGAAGAGCAAAGCAAGGGATATTTTAATGTTTAGGGAGCTTTTATTTGCAACTATTGCTTTTTATTGGAAGCAAGATATTAACAGAAGGATAATATAACAATTGCATGCTTGATTAACATAGAAGGGAAGGTTAATTATCATCATCGTTATCTTTAGCCTTGTCTCAAATGGTTAAGGTCAAATTTATGAATCCGTATTTTTTATTAATACCTTTCTATTTTTGTTCGAGGTGTTAAATCTATTATGTTTTTTTTCTTGATAGGCTTGTCCATATTATCTTTTGTTTGTCCATTTTCTTTTCTATTTCTTTCACATTAATTATTTTGTCTTATTGCAGAATCTTCGATCCTCCTTATACGTGGCTAGACCACCTTGGTTATTTTCCATTTCCTTATTATCAATTGGTCCTGTTACTCCTATAGGCTTTATCATATGAACATTTTTTTATTTACACTTCATAGCTTTAGCACATTCAACATTTTCATCTAAGCATTTTCATTTATGCTATTCTCAACTTATTTATAATTGGCTTTTTCATCTCTTAACAATTGAGTCCATATAATATAGTCAGTCTAATTATAATTTTATAAGGTTTACTTCTAACTCTCAATGTTGCTCTCTTCTTGGATGGTATGTCTGAGGCACTTCTCCATTAGCTTTCATTTGAGTTTTTAAACACATTTTCCATCATTCTATCTCATAACTTTATAATCTTTATTTTACGTCTTATAAGTTTAATTCTCTTATAACTATTATAAGCTTGAACATTTTCTTTGTTCTTCTCAAACTATTCAATACCTCTTTGGCATAAGAAAAAAAAATGATGCTAATAGTTGTGAGTTGAGCATCTTACCTTGGTTTGAGAGACGATTATTATTTTTGCAATTCTTAAAATGGCCTAGTTTTCTATGATGATAAAATGACATGCAATGAAAGATATTGATGAAGATTATATCATTTCCGGGTTCTACGGGTTATAACCCTAGTAATTTTGCTTTATTTAGTGTGATGATTGTAATTTAATATTCTTCAAAACTATTGTTATAAGTAAAATAAACTTGTAAGTATTTTTACAGTGCCATACTTTACTTAGGCAAGCCCCTATTGCGGTGCCTCAGGCATTGGCAAATATATTATCTAGATTTCATCTGATGCTTTTGAAAACCTTGGAGTTGGCCACGGATGATAACTCTTGAACCTGGAGGTTGCCGCAAGTAAGTTTGGTGAATGTTGTTGTCGGTGTGTTTGCTACGATGGATAGCTCATGGAATGATAGTTTTATAGTAGTGATTGCTGAAGGCTAATATGGGGACCAGGTGAATCGTGTTGTCTCCAAATTGACTCTATGTACTTGTGAGCCCAGTTCGAGTTGCCTAGCCAGCTTGAGTCATGAATGAACTTAAGTTAGAGTTTTTATGACATGATACTTTGGAGATATTGATTTCTGAAGTTATCATATATGTTTTTTTGGTTGAATTCTAGCTAATGATTTTCTTGATGATGACTATTTAACAATTCTGCTCCTTTTCTTGTTATTGTTTGATGAAGTCCGATGAAATTGAAGTAGTTTGTCGGTTCCATAGATTAAAAATTGGTTTAAATTTACGATTTAATAAAAAATTCGCTCCCTTGGCATCTTTACATCACTAATGTTTCTTATGCCGAAACTTTTTGTTTTTTTTCTCTTTATCATCTAATTAATGTTTTTTATGACAATTAAGGGCATGGTCAACTTTACGGTAAGATCTTTTGCTCCTCAATGCCTGCAAGCTTTGTTGCTTGCTGTTTAGTTTTTATGGATGCAAATATTAGTCATGACATATTTTAACTGAAATTTGTGTTCCGTTTGTTGATATAATTTCTCTATTAATTTTAAAAAATGTGATTTTGTTCTCTCTGATGCCTGCTATTTTCTTTTAATGCATAATTATGCTAATGTGGTGGTGCCACATTTGGTTGTTGGTAAAGTGATTTAGTAAATTCTTGGCAGGAGGAGGAATGTCTATATGCAATTTTCTTCACATCAAGAACTAACTACTGTAGATCAAGGATCACAGGGACGGAACGACCAGGTTAGACCAAGTGTTTAAATGAATTTGTGTCAGATGGCTTATACATGGTACATTAATGTGAATAATATTTGATAAATTTTCAATTTGTGTCATATTACTGAATTTGTATATGAAGTTTTTATTTTAACAATGATCTTTATCATATTTATCCACTACTGGTATGCCATCATAATTTTCAAATATAGGCCTCTATGGATGTTTTTTTGTCACGTTATCCAGTTTGTTTTGGCTTATGCTGCTTTATGTAACGAGCACACGGTATTCATGTTATCCAGTTTGTTGTTTTCTATGACTTGAGCTTTTTCAAGGAAAATTTGTTAACCTTCTGCCAGTATGATCCTTCATCAGCTAGGGATATATTAATATCTCTTATGGTCATATTGCTATTTGTAATGAGTAGGCTCACTCCAGCTTGTGGCAGGTTCATTTTTGCTGTCTGAAATTTTTATACATAAATTGACGAATTTTTGTTATTGTTACCAAGCCCATGCTTTTGCTTCCACATGCAAATAGATCCCTCTAGATAATAAGAAACTTCAAATGACTAATTATCATTAATTAACACACTTCTAGGATCTAATTTTGAAATTGACTATAGGTATCTGAACCAGGAATTTTTATTGGGTCAAATAACCTGATGTAGAGATACACCAGGTACCCAATAAAAAAATGTCACATGCACTTTAAACAAAAAGCACTCAGCTTTAAAACAAAAAGTAAGTGCATGTGGCATTTTTTTATTGGGTACCTGATGTATCTCTACATCAGGTTACCTGACCCAATAAAAATTTCTGAACCAGCCTTATTTTTCAGAGGGGCCAAACCTATAAGTAAAAGTTTATATATATATTTTTTCATTTGTACCTAAATACATAATACATTTTAAAAATTTCATTAACAACTTATATAATGACAATTTTTCTTAAAGAAAAATTAGGTAACACCTCTACATTAGGGAACAAATTTTTGTTGCAAGGATATTTTTGGATTCTCTTTACTATTTCTCTTTGTATTTGGTTCATCGTTCTCTAATAATAACACCTCTATACAATGTGTTTAATTATGCTGGGGCAATTGCCTAAATAACATAGTATTTTAAAACTTTTAGGGGGGAAATTGCCTAAAAACCCTTGTAATAATACCTCTACATAAGGTGTATAATTCTGCTAGGGGGCAATCGCCTAAAGATCATAGTATTTTAATTTTTTTAGGGGGGGAATTGATAGCAAATTGGGCGAGGCTTACCATTCAGCTTGTTGGTGCTAAGTCTGGCCGATGTGTATGGAGGAATCCTGTTACAATCTCTCCAAGGTTCATTGGTTCAAAAGGAGATACCGAGCAACATTGGAGGTCCTCCTCACGGCTTGCCAGTGCCAGTATAGGAATATCATATTTTATGTCATGCTTATAAGTGTCCCTAGATAAGAGGGGCTGTTTTTGTCATTAAAAGTTGAATGGTATTTTGGTCATTTTAAATTAATTTATTTGACTGCTTTACTAATAAAATACTACTAATAGATAATTAATTTTCTTTCAAAATCCAAATATAAGGACATAATTGGAGAATCGGACCTCTATCCCAAATGAAGGAAAACAAGAAGCAATGAGGAATAGGGATTTTTAATTTCTATTTTTGATGTTTTTCATAGATACTCTTAATGTGACACCACAACGACAATTCTATAACTCAATGCTTTGATTGTTTCAATCTAATTTGTTAGGTTTTCAATCGAATCAGTTAGGTTTTATATCAAGCTTTTTGATTTAGACTTTATTTTCTTTTATGTACAATCATACTTTAGTTTTTTATCAATGGCGTTAGAGCTTTGAATACATTCATGTAATTTTTCTGTTTAGGAAATTCTACAAGATATATCTATGATTTGAGATGGGTAGAAATTAAGTTTTAGTGTTGTAGAGATGAGGATGCTCAGATGGATGAGTGGCTTTTTACTCTTAGAGATAAAATGTGAAACGATTATAAATGTGAAAAGGTTGGAGTAGCTCCAGTGGCATATACGATTAGAGAGAGCCGCCTTAGATTATTTGGTCACATAAAACGTCGACCTTTCAATGATTTGGTTAGGAAAGTTGATGTATTAGGTTTGACCTATATTAAGAAAGGTAGAGGTAGACCTAAAAAGTCTTGGTTGGAAAGTATTGGAAATGACATTTTTTTTTATTAGATTTAAATGAGAATTTGAATCGTATTAGGACACAATGGAGAAAAAAGATTCATGTAGCTGGACCCATGTAATGGGATAAAGGCTTGATGCTATTGTTGTTGAGAGGTTTATATTTGAAGGAATTGACATATTTTAATGTTGTATTTCACAATCCCGTGTCAAGCTACCCATCGTGAAGAATTAAGAGAATCAAAGCTTGAGCCAAAACAAGAAGCTATTGTAATTACAATTAAAGATAGAAAATGAGTATCTATCGAGGAAATCAAAGATCATAAGGAAAAATATATGGGTGTAAAATTGAAAGACCTTCAAGGGGAAACAAAAGGAGATTTATGCGTCATTTAGGACAATTTTTTATTGCTTTCGAAAGCAGTTTTTTTATTACTAAAATTTATAATTAAAAAAATTTTGTACTAAAAAACTGTTTTAGAAAATAGTAAGTAAACAACCTCAAATGAAGCCTTAGTATTGAATTTTAGGTGATTCTTTTGTGAAGGACAACAAATAGCATCTTGAAAGTAGATTTGATATTGAAGAGCACAATGATAATCCATTATCAATCAAATGTGAAAATTATTGTCAAAATCTAAGTAAGATATAGTAATTCTTCTAAATAACATGATCAGTGAAAGTTTTTTAGAATTGAGGTTGAAGTTTGGTTTCATTAAAAATTTGATGTGCTTGACTTTTAAAATGTGAAAAATTGGCCCCTTCAAAATTTGAAGAATCAATTTTGTATGATACTTTGTGAAAAATGCACATGTGACTATTTAAGAATACAAAAATGTCAAAGGTTGTGGAATCCATGATGGGCGGTAGATGTGAGGGAGAGTTAGCATTTCAACTTTCTTGTCTTTGAAAATTATGTAGATGCATATTATTTACATGTTAATGTGGCGCTTTTATAGCACCTTATGGACTTCATTGCAAATTAGTTATTAGTTAGGGTCTATTTTAAGCAGTATTTTTAAAGCACTAAGTGAAATTTGATGCACAAGAAATTTTTTTTTCTTTAGTAAGCAAATCGTAATGTGAAGCAATGCTTTTGCTTAACTTTTTATATAATTAGCCCCTATGAGATAACCTTCGAATGACAGAAATTGCTTTTTAAATTTATGTTTCATATCAACCCATATGATTTTATTTCACTTGTAACACTTCACTATAATAATTGATAATTTCGTTTTAGTAATGTCAACTTTTTTGATCATTTGCAAAGAAATTTTCTTATTTATCAATCTAATTTGACAATTCCCTATAATCATACCTCCATGATGGAATTAGGAATATAATTCTGAATCTGATGATTGTCGCATTATATTTGTTTAAAATCATATCTTACCCAATCTCACTTAAATTACATCTTTATTATTTTTTTGGTTGACCCAATTATTATGGCGTACTTCTAGTTGACATGATGCTACTATACAACTTGATACTAGTTTGATGTGGGATGTCTTAGGGTGAACGGTTTCCCTAATACAAAGCTAGGATAATCTGCACAAACAAGCAAACACAAATCCAATTCACGATTTACCAACTTTAATATGGCAAAATTGCATTTTTATTTATGCAAATAGGAATACGAGTACAACGAAGCCCAAACAATAAAGAAGATTGTCAAAATTTAAATATTACAAGAAATCTATGATTAAAATAAAATCATACAATAAATAAGATTCACATTATTGGAAGGGAAATCGTATTGTTGCAAACGTGACCAAATCTTAATTTCCAAAATCAATCACAGAATAGTTGATGATTGATGAAAGAAGAACGACGATATAAGTCACCAGGGAATATTTAGGTTTTATGCTGCTACAAGGAGAAAACGCTTTCCCTTGAAAGCTGTCATCAAGAATTGCGTCACATAAAAAAATTCAACTCTTATTTGATCGCACAAATTTGAGTTGAATATGAAATTTAATTAAGCTAAGTTTGAATTTTATATGCCTAGAAACCTGACCTTTTTTATAATTAAAATTATATCCAGAATTGTAAGTTTGCTGAAATATTAAAATTTTGCCAGAATTGCAAAAGAACAATATTTCAATTTGATTTTCAGCATGGCAACAAGTTTTTGATCTCTGCTATGGTGAAAAATCACAAATTAGCGATTCACATCCGCGAGACTCGAACACAGGACCTCTTAATTGGAAACATATATTTGAGTAAGCTGATGAACCAAAAAGGTAGCCAAAAACAACCAACAGAATTCAGGAAAATCATTTATAAAGGGAAACTCAACAAAAATCATATTTTGGAACAAATAAATGGCAACCTTCAAAGCACCAACCCAAGTACAGTGCTAACACCAAATTCCATCCACAATATAAAACTATGAATAGAAGGAAACATGCAACCGGTGGATCTTGTCAAAAGAAAGGCACTGAAAGCCTAAACACATGAAAGCATGGCAATAACCTTCCAAATTAGCTGGTGGACACCATCAGAGATGCAATCTTCTAATTCAATAGCTAGTTAGAAACAGTGGAACCGAAATTGAGCTGGAATTGGGATGATTTTTTTTTTTTAGGGGCAGACCCATGACATCTTAGTTGGGAGCCATACTCCCAACCAACAAACCATGGAGAGCTGCGTGAATTGGGATTATAAACAACTAAACTAAAAAAATCTGATGAGAGCTGAATTCAGCCAGCTTGTAGTCTAAAGCTGTAAACCAGGGGAATCAAACATTAAAGACTTATCCCTTCTCATAGGCATTCTTACTATAAGTATGCTAGAACATTAAAATTACTAAAGCAACTCAAATCTTAAAATAAATGAGTTCATATTCCATGCTTACCCATTGCATTTCCAAGGAATGTAAACATTAGGATTTCCATCAACATGGTTTATTGGAATGAAATTTTTTGGAATTATCTTGAGATGTACAAATGTGGATGCAAACTTTCTTTTTATTAGCTATGTGTTGGTCATATTACATGTGCTTATCACATTTTGGTGAACTCTTATCGTAGTACTATATTATATCTTGAAATTTAAACAGCCTTTCTCTGTGATAGATTTTGTTAATTGTCACAATAAAGAGACGGAATTAATGACATGGGCAGCATTGTGTAGGATTAGGCGCTCATGTTTATTCATTGATAATTATTTTCTGGTCAATTTACTGATTAAATTAGGCTCTAATATTTTCAGCAATTTTGATTAGGGGTGTGTTTTTGCTAAGAGTGGCATTTTCTTTTGTCACTTGCTAGATTCTGTAGTGTTTGTTAGAACAGTTTTTAGATGATGAAATTTGATCAAATCTTCTTAGCGCGCCTCTTTTCTTTTTCTCTGATATTACTTCTCTTTTTTCTTCTATGACTATACAAAAAATGTATCATTTCTCTTCTCTACCTAATCTCTTTCTTATGATCTCCTTTTTTGTACTTCTTCTCTATTCATTTTTTCTTCTCTCTTGTCTATGCTGGTTTTCTGTTAAGCGCTCAGGATTCGGAACCCAATCGAGTCTTGTTAGTTACAATTCATCACATGCTGTACCCCATAACGGTGGATGTGCTGCATCAAGTGTTTTCCCCTCACGGATTTGTGGAAAAGATCGTCACATTTCAGAAGTCAGCTGGTCAGCTTCTTTCAGTCTTCTCTATTTTCTCTCAGTAGACTTCAGTGAGAACTTCTGTGGAACTTTATGTATTTAGCTTTAGCATTATCTAGTTTTTGCAATTTTATATGGTTGTATCTGTATTATCTTTATGGTGAGCATTTTAGTTATTATTAACTTGATATTGTACATGTTGTGTTCTTTATTTTGTAAATCCTCCCATTGTAAAATCAGTAAAGTATTTAATAGGTTTCTGCAAAATGATTTTTCTCAATTGCGTAGGATTTCAAGCCCTCATCCAATATCAGTCTCGTTCGGCTGCTGTTATGGCGAGAAATACTCTGCACGTAGTTATCCTCAATCTATCCCTCCCCTCTACTTAATGCTGGTAGTTTTTCTGTGACAAAAATGATATGCTATTTTATGGCTTCTGCTTTGTAGGGACGCAATATTTATGATGGTTGCTGTCAGTTAGATATACAATACTCCAAGTATGCATCTTTTGGTAGATTCTTCTGTATTCCTTATCACCCTACTGTTGTTAGCTTAAGGATTCAACCTTTTCTCTTTACTTTTCAGCCTTAGCGAGCTGCAGGTAAACTATAACAATGAGCGGTCAAGGTACTTCCTGATTCCTTTAACTATTTGAAAAATAGCATTTAGCTACAGTTTAATTCTTGATAGCTTTTTTGTTTTGAATATTCCCAATAATTAGACATTGCATGACACCTAATCTTAATATTTAGCCAACTGCTGTTAGATTTTGTTAGGCTTTGTCTGTTATTTTTTTTATTATATTTGGTACTCATTTTCAGTTATCTTCATCTATCACATCCTTCAAACTATCTAGCCTTCACCATTCTTTTCTCATTTATGTTGATGTTTTGTTGTCATTATGCTGAAAATGCACAATTTTTTTATTTAGAGATTTCACAAATCCGTCACTACCTTCTGAGCAACGAGGTAGATCAGCACAAGTAAGCTACTTCCACTTTCAATTGTTTGATAATTGTTCATACTCAGTTCATAAGCTAACTGCTAATGCTGTTTAGATGCCCCATGTTTTCATATTTTATATAGATTCAAATGGTTGAGGAGGTGTTGAATTATGTGATAATAAATATCTAAATAATTTTCATACATAACTGAGCGAAATGTACCTAGCTATAAGCTATAAAATAAAATATACAAAATTTTCAATGGTTCTACAACAACATCTTACTTCGAGTGCATAGCAAGATTCTTTGGTAGGATTTGAAAAGCTTCTAAGCTTTGCCAAATATTTTTATAGACTAGTATTGAAGAAAGGGAGCGATGATCTAATTTCTTGTGTATTTCATTGAGAATTTTACACATTTATTTATACAATAAGATTTTATGCCATACTAAATATTTCCTCATTTGGAAGCAACTAGTTATACATCAATTTTTAGACAATTATAACCAGGAAAAATATAAAGTATTAACAATGTTTCTATAGATGTACCTAGGGGTGTAGGTGCATTGAGCTGGCTCAAACTCTACTCATTAACGAGCTCATGAGTCGAGCTTATTGAGCTCAAATTCAAGCTCGCATGTCTTACGAGCTTGAGTTCAAGTTTGATGAGATTCAAATTGTCGGCTCGCTAGCTCGCTCGGTTTGGTTGATACCTAAGAGCAGAAAAAGCATCCTATTTATTAATTTATACTATTTAGGGGTACATACTCAGTTTCTTTTAGTAAAACATTTAAAAAAAATCAAAAGCTATAGTATTAAAAAAAAGTGATGCTTTTTCTAAATGCGGCTAAAAATTTGCAAAAATCAATTGCTTTTAATGCAATTGCCAATGGCTGTGCTAAGTTTTTTTTTTTAATTGTTGTTTATTTTCTTAAAAAAAAAGAGCCTTCTCTTCTTCTTCAAAAGTGCTTCTCCAATGGTCTGGTGAAGTTCATCGATCCTTCGCCCGAGCTTTGGAGTTTGAGCCTAGTGTAACTCCGACGATCGGGTGTCCTCACTTCCTCCTTTCTTCGGCGAGCAAAGCTCACTAGTTGGCGCCTTGAACTCCTCTGGCGAGTCGAGATTGAGCCCGATGTAACCGCGATGAGCTGAGCTTGAGTTCAGGATTTTCTCCGAGTAGACGAGCCGAGCTCAAGTTAGCCCAAACTGTAAATTGGAAATTGAACTCGTATGTATCAACCATGTACCATCAAAAGATCAACTTGCAGATGCCCTTGCCAAAGGAGTGGATCACACTGTCTTTCTCAGAATAATAGCCAAGTTAGGAATGACAGATCCATACTTCTCAGCTTGAGGGGGAGTGTCAAGATCCAGCCTTTTAAGAGCAAACCAATCCAACGGCTATAGTGCTCAATCCGTGGGACGCAAGACTCACGCAAGAACTCTTTCCATATTTGAGTTGCTGATTTATGAAGGATTATATTAGAATTATCTTGTAATTTTTTATTTCCATATTAATTTATCTTGTATAGATCTATAAATAAAGGAGAAATCATGTAATAAAGTATGCTTTTCTCTCAAACCTCTGATTTCTAACACAAATGAATGTTAATGTGAGATCCTTTGTCATTTATAACGTTATGTGTAATTTGTAATGTTTGGACGCTTATCTTTTATGTAATTAATGTCAGTCTGGATATGGTGAAGGTAGCGACATATATGCATTTCATACAGGTGGATCTAGAGCAGGTAGTTATATAATCCTATTGTTTAAGTCGGCTCCTTTACCTCATTTATTAATATGCTAATCTGTTCTTTTGTCTTTGCTTTCTCATTTTTCCAGTTGCATTTGCTCAGGTGGGTTTCTCTTGCCCAGGTTTATAAAAACAAGTTGTGCTCTCACAATTTTTTTTGTAAATTATCCCCAATATTTTTACAAGCATCTTCTAATAATCTTTTGTTGATTTTAGTATTCCACCATTCCTTCATTATTTATTCCATTTAGAAGCTGCATGAGGATTTTTTTTGTGGTGATTTATCTTATTATTAGATGAGCAATGCCGCGGCTATTGCGGCTGCATTTGATGGTGGTCTGCCTGCTGGTATCAGTGGTACTAATGACCGGTGTACACTCATTGTCTCTAACTTGAACACAGATGTAAGTAGTCTCTGCCAGTTGGAATTTCCTCTACTGTTTCTACTTGAGATGCTAGTAGTTGAAGCATCGCCATTGGATTCTTCCTGCAGAAAATTGACGAGGACAAGCTTTTCAATTTGTTTTCTATGTATGGCAACATTGTCAGAATCAAATTTCTTCACAATAAACCAGATCATGCGCTCATTGAGATGGAGGATGGATTTCAAGCTGAATTAGCTGTGCACTTTTTGAAGGTTCCATTGAAATTCTACCTTTTCCATACCATTGAGAAGCGGTTATTTGTTCTCCCCTTACCTTACCTACGTCTTCCAGATACAATTTGTTTTGCAAATTTGGATCATAGGTCGATTTATAGATTTAGATTATACATTCGGCTTCATATAATGTTTCAAATTTCAGGAACATGCAATTAGAAACTGCTTTTTAAAAGCAGAAGGAAAGATGCTTTGAGCATGTGTAGGCTTAGGCTTCGTTTGGGATGGTGTTCTTACTATTTCTTAAAACAATTTTTTATTACAAAAATTCAAATTTGTGTAGTAGAAAGCTGCTTTAACAAGCAGTAAGAAAGCCGTACCAAATGAAGCCTTAAATTTCAATTCAACTGGACAATTTTTAACTTTTTAAGGCAGTTGCATACTTACAACTTTTTTATTATTATCCAATAAGAGTTGAAGTAGCCAAAACTGTAAACCTTATCTTACAGAATAAAGAAGCATAACACATTCTATTGCTTGTTTTCTGTAGACTGAACTGTTTTCTTGGCACTATGATTTTATTCGAGCTACTATCCTAGAATTTTATATATTCTGCATTTTTATTGAATCTTCTATACTAGAAATATAATTTTTAGGTTCTGCGTTTTTTTTTTTCATTGATTTGTTTCTTCCATGAGTTCATGAAATATAGGCTGTAGGTTGGATTTTTTTTTTTTGCAAGTTATTTGAACCTCAGGGAGCTTTGTTTGGGACGATTTTTTTATTGCTTCTTAAAGCAGCTTTTTGTATTAAAAAGTTGCTTTAAGAAGCAATAAGAAAGACGTCCCAAACGAAGCCTTATAGATCCGAGGTAGACATCAGTTAAACCCTAAGGATGGTGTCACTTCTGAGATGCCTGAATTCCTTAACATCCTTACATATAACTCACATTTTCTTAATCAGTCATCGTATCTATACCTATCCTTCCTTTCAGGGTGCATTGCTGTTTGACAAAAGGCTTGAGGTGAACTTCTCCAAGCATTCAAACATCACACCTGCTCCTGATGCACACGAGTATGGAGGATCTAACCTTAACCGCTTCAACCGCAATGCGGCAAAGAACTACCGCCATTGTTGTGCTCCGACAAAAATGCTTCATATATCCACTCTCCCACAGGAGATCACAGAGGATGATCTGGTGTCTCATCTCGAGGAGCACGGAGCAATTGTTAACACGAAGATCTTCGAGGTGAACGGAAAGAAGCAGGCTCTGGTTTTGTTCGAAAATGAGGAGCAGGCTACTGGAGCCCTTGTTTGCGAGCATGCGAGTGAAATCGACGGGTACACCATTCGTATATCTTTCTCTCAGTTGCAGAACATATAGATCTCCTTCTCCCACCTTTACTCTCCTTGGAGATCTGAAGTTGCTGTCAAATGCTATTTGATTTGTTGTGATTTTGTAAGATTGATTTGTGCTTTGCTTTGATGAGCTTCTTTTGCTTGAATGTATTGGTTTTTGTTAGTTGTTGGCTGTCTAAACAGATTTTTAGAATGCTAATTCTTCTGTTTCTGTTTTGCTCTGAATTTGTATCTGTTCGACGTCTCTGAACATTTTATTTATGGGGTTTCTCTCTGCTGTGTGCATGTAGTTATCTGGTCTTTTGGTTGAAAAATTATTCTGTGCGGAGGCTGGATGTCAAGAATCGTTTGGATTTGCTGCTATTTAGCTGTGCTTTTGCAAATACTCAGCAAAAGGGCAGCAAATAATGCATATTTGCTACCCTTTTGTTGAATATTTGCAAAAGCGCAGCAAAAGAACAGCTAAAGTACAACAAATATCATACTAATTGTATATTTGCTGTCCTTTTATTTTTTGTTGTGCTTTTATAAATGCTCAACAAAAAAGCACAAGTGTATTTATAATTGCATATTTAATGCTTTTTTTTTTGAATATTTGTAAAATTGCAGTAAATGGGCAGCTAAAGGATATCAAATTCAGTCGGTTCTCATTGTTTGGTCTTTTCACAGAATAATTTCTCCCTTTGATTAGCTTTTTTATGGATGGTTATATTTTTTAATTTATGTTTTAATTTTGTGAGTGCCAAAGAATAATTTTGATGCAAGTGAAATTAAGCTTAGAATTTCAATAATATTTTGAAAGATTTTTATCAATTAGGTTAGATCAATATTTATATAGTTTATAATAATATTTATGTAGTTTAGAAAAATTAATATATTTTTTTCATAATTATTAATTTTTACCTAAGCCTTGCTAATGACATAATAATTAAGCATAGGATAATTAGCAACTATAATAATTTTAGCTGACTTTTTTCTTATTAAATTAGAATAAAATATTAAAAGAAAATTTGAAAAAATAATTTAATCAGATAGGCTACAATTTTGTTTACTAGAGGAAAATACTTAATAATTGTTGATTTAAATAACTTTATATAAGATAGTTTATTATTATAATAACTCGCTTGCGAAAGGATAGCGGTAAACAATGCTGCTCTATCCCTACGGAGTCACGTGGACTCCGGCCACTCCATTGGTGTCCCGAAGCATACCCAACTTGGCGGCGTTTCCCGCCGGTGGCGGCCGGCGATCTCTAAAATTTGTCCTCTTCTCTGTACCTAGTCGGTGCTTCACCTGTGCATCTGCTTCCCCCGATCGCTGCAACGCCGGAAAAGTAGAAGGCTCCACGATCGACCGCGCAGCTTACGAGAACGAGCGGCTCCGGCTTGACGCAGATGCTCGCGATGCAATGGCGGCGACGGCGTCTGCATCGGAGGGAAGTGAAGATCCTCGGTCGTGGAAATGGAGGATACGGAAGAGGATATGGGACCTCATGGAGGCCCAGGACATTGCTCGGAACCCTCGTCCTGTACACCATCGCATCCCTAACTTTGTTGGCGCGCCTAAAGCCGCAGAATTGGTTCGTCTTAACTCGATTTTCTTCATTATTTTTTGAACTTATGATTGATTGCATTCATTTTGTTCATTAATTCGTATCTTCTTTTATGCTTTCCAAGCTCTCGATTTGCTGCTGCTAATGTTGTGTTTATGACGTGGTGTTTAAGCTAGGGCGTCTTGAAGAATTTCAGAAGGCGCAATGTGTTAAAGTGAATCCAGATTCGCCTCAAAAGCAAGTCCGATTCTTAACGCTCACAGGTTAATATTAGCATTTTTATGTTTTGCCATCTCAAGCTTTTACTAGTATATTCATTTTTTTTTCCCTTCCTGCATGAATTGTATTTAAACTCGTGGTTGTCATCATCTTTTGTTCTAGCAGTAAAAAAAGATTTGATTTAGCATATGGAACCCTTGGTTTTACTTTCTTGTTTCCTTGATCTCGGATAGTTTGATCATTTTTTTGTTGTTCTACTTTGATCATCTAGATGGAAAGACGTTGCTGACCCCTCAACCACGTCTGAGGACTGGATTCTTTTCAGTCCTAGAATCCCGGATGATTCCTCCTGAATCCATAATGGAGGCATGCTCTTCATTTGGCTTTGCAAAATATGGGAAACCTATTGGTTTGGATGAGAAAATCAAGGTAGATCTGTTGGTTATTGGTTCTGTTGCTGTTGATCCGCACACCGGCGCTCGACTTGGGAAGGGCGAGGTAGTATTGATTGCTTCATTCTGTTACACTGCAAATATATTGCTAATATAAAACAAATTCTAGGATTATCCTTTTCGAAGATGTATTTATTTGATCAGTATTTGGTTCTCGCTGCTAAATTATTTTAAATATGTAATCATCTTTACCATTAGCACTATCTCAACTATTTTGATGTCGGAGTTTTTAAATTGCTAGGCAAAGGAATGTAAAATATTCATTTACTTTCCTAAGTGATTGACGCTCATGATGACTATGTGAGTTCTTTTACAACTGGGTATGTGCTTGAAGAAGCAAATGCTTCTATGTCATTTTAGTTCATATATACTAAAACTGCAGGATGGGATATATTCATATATTATGGCATATATTAGGTTTGAACCTATGACCTTATCAGTAACTTTCAAAGTCCTTACCAACCTGTTTAGCTGACACCTACTCATTTTTTATCTTCGTATGTTAATTAAAGTTACTGATTTCCTCCAACTAGAAAAGTTGATTATTTTCATTTCATTTGTAGATATGTTTGTCTTCTTGTTCGGTTTGAATTTGTTAATAGGTCCAGGTTTTGGGAAGGTTCGACATTAATTCGTGCTAAAAATATGTTCAAAATATCAACATTAAAGAATTATGTGATCCAGGCTGAAGTTTGTGTTTGCTTTGAAGTAGATGAGTTGTTGATTGTAGAAACATTAGTTGTGCCGTTTCGACCATATTCTGAATTGATCAGAAAATTATTTCTTTTCGAACAAACTTTTGAATCTATACTTCACTATTTGATCGATAGATTTAGTGATTTGGACAAGAAATGTGTTTAAAGAGCAAAGGGAAAGAAAGTGTTCTATGAATAGAAATAATCAGGACTAATTTGGCAAATGGTTTATTTCCACCAAAATATCTGAACTTGAGCAGTTCATTTTTCAATAGAGTTAAAGTATCTTTATGGTGGTTGTGTTTTGCTTGCATGGAATTTTTTGATTTGACCACTGTTTGTACTGTTAATAAATTGACTAATTTTTATGTGCAAGTGCCAATTAGAAGTGGGTTCAATGAACACAAAGTAGTAACCAAACACCAAAAGAAGATATGAAGATTTATGGGATTTGGCTAAAATAAGCCTATGTCTGATGGAGTGGAGAGAGGATCTAATATATTATAAATAGGCTACATGTGTACAAATAAGTGGACTTCGCCAAACCCAAATACACCCAATCCCGCTTGAATAGAGAAGCCTCAAATCTCCCAAGTCCATTAAAAGATAGAACAACGTAAGGAGACAATAAATAACATTTAACTAATACCATAAATTCTCAAGTTGAAAGCTCCTACCACCTGATATGAAATCGTCATAATAATTCCTGCTCAATCATGCTTGCACCATGTCAATGTTTTTTTTCTTCATTTTCTCTTCTCTCTCTCTCTCTCTCTCTCTCTCTCTCTCTATCCTCTTTAGTTTCCTCTCTCTCTCTCTCTCACACATTTCTCCCAACCCTAGCCTGTGAAACTACATGTACTCGAAATTCACATGTTACCCAATTCCTACTCACTTGCATACAAAATAACCCATTTTATTTAAATGAGATTGATGAATTGATTTCATATCTAAATCTGGTTTAAATTGACTTGCAGCTATAAAAAATAATAAATTTTGTAATATTATGCTAAAGTTGATTTCTCTCTAAATCAATAAAAGGAGAATTTGTATTTATGCTAATGTTTTCATTTTGTGGTTATCCTAACTAAGGTTCGTTTGGGATGACTTTCTCTTAAAACAGCTTTCTAGTATAAAAATTTTAATTTTTTTAATAAAGAGCTATTTTAAGAAACAATAAGAAAGCTGTCTCAAACGAAGCCTAAATTGCCGAGTCGAAAATGTTGCACAATCATTGTTCTCTGAGTATTTTTGGTAGAAAAACAGGTTTGGTGAAAAGAGGATTTGGTGGATAGTTACCATAAAAATGATTTGTTCATTTTAACAAGGAAAGCAATATAAACTTCAGTTTTAGCGCAGTTGATGATGGTTCAGCAATAATGAATTTTAATGCATGATTTTAGTTTGGCATTGGTGTTCACTGTTCAGTAAGGTAAATCTGTTTAGGGTGCATATTCTAGAGTGCGAGGATGAATATACATGCTGAAAATCATGTACAAAGTTTCCATGCTGTCTTTTAAACTGCTGAGTTGCCCTAATGTGGAAAATTTTTGGTTTAGGATATCTTGATCTAAATTTGATCTTGTAGGATTCTATTGTCATTAGTGTAATTTAAATTTTAATTAATCATTTATAAATTATACTTATCTCTAAATAAATTTAATAACTTTGAGACTCATATGACCAAAAAATTTTTGCCTCATGAAAAAAAGTAGTTGGTTTTATTTATTTAATTGATGTAAAATGACTTTTAATGACAATCATAATTAAAATTATCTAGTCTGCGAAATGAAAACTTTGAAAAATGCATTTTCAAATACTTTTGAGATAAACTATTAAATATATTACATAAACTGTTCGCAAAATATATAGTTGTATTTAGTAAAACAGAGAGAAATCATCTTGCAAAATATATAGTTGTATTTAGTAAGCCACTGTACTCATCTTGCTGCTGCTACGAAAGAGACTTGTTTAATGATGAATACTCTCGCCAGTTTACTACTTCACTCCAAACTTATTTAAATGAGACATTGTTTGTAGCCCGTATATTTCAATCATGCCCAGTAAAATAGCTTAATATTTAATCTTTCATATCTATTCGAATATCAAATAATGGTGTTAGCCTTTGGCTCCAAAACCCTTATTTTTGCTTTTTAGGTTTTGTTTGTGATAACTTTTTTACTACTTCTTAAAGCAGCTTTTTAGTATAAAATTTTTAATTTTTGTATTAAAAAATCGCTTTAAGAAGTAATAAAAAAATCATCTCAAACGAAGCCTTAATATCCTTTGAAAGCTTATCTGCTTCTCTTGTTTTTCTCCTTTTTCTGATGAATACACCTGTTAAAAGTTTTGCAAAAACAAATAAATTTGATGATAAATTGCATCTTTGAATAGCATGTTTACAGATTCCAGTTATTGTAGGGATTTGCTGAACTTGAGTATGGGATGCTGCGACACATGGGGGCTATTGATGATTCAACTCTGGTGGTAACCTCTGGTAAATATAAAATGCGTTGTATTATTTTGTATTTGGGACGACAGCAACAAATTGTAAAGTCAACTGTAAAAGCTATTGAAAAGAAGTTATAAAAAATATGGATGTTAAGAAACCACGAAACACAATTAGACCTTAAGATACTGAGCTTGGTCCTAGGAAACTATTCTAGATAGCAAAACATTCTAGAATTCATACAAAAACTTGCTAAGGCTTTTTGTTTTGTTGAAAAAGTAATGTTGGGTAAAAAGAATACTATATTTGGTAAATGTAGTGTATTGAAAACTGTGTTATTTGATTGAGTGCACTATAAATGAAAAGATTATTTTTAGTGTTTGGTTTAAAGTAAAACTAATTCAGTGTAAAACCTAACAACATATGATTGATGGCGGTGGCTGGTGGCGGACGGTGGTCATTGACGCCTTTTGGCAATGGTAAGCGGTTGTAGACTGTGACCATTGACTGGTCACTGGTGACTAGTGGTGGCAACAGGCGGTCGGAAAAGAACGACATATTTGGAATTTGCCCAAATCCAAATTCAATGAAAATAAACTATGTAACGAATATCAAATACATAAAAAGTTTTACTAATCTTTTGCTTTTCTTCCAACTAAACATTACAATTTTCAGAAGTTCTGCATTTAACTTACTTACACTAGTATTTTTTGCAACCAAACAGCCCTTAAGTCAAATATCAGTGCGATTTTGATTTGAAAAACTGAAAGAAAGTTGTCCTAGATAGCCCCTTCTTATCTTTCGTTCATTTTTTTTTCTAGTTTCTAAGACATTAATCGAATTCTTCATTTAAGTTAGGAGAAACTAGTGAAAGTATCCTATTTACTGGAGAAGTTTATAGGTAATTTAATCTTTAATAATCTTTATTGTAGTGCATGATAAGCAATTGGTTGATGACATTCCTGTGGAAAAACTTCTGATCCATGATGTGCCAGTGGACATAATCTGCACTCCAAATCAACTTATTTACACAAACACAACCATCCCAAAGCCTCAAGGTTAGTATAAAGAAAGTTCTTTTTACACTCTATCCATTGTAATAAATGTAAGGCTATTGGGTTGATACAGGAATCTATTGGGATAAGCTTTCTCCAGAAAAACTTAGCCAGATTCGAATTCTAAGAGAGCTTAAGAAACTGATAGAGAAAGAAACAGGGCAGATTTTACCCTCTGGTCCTTCTGAAAAGCTTCCCCCTACCGCCCAAAGGAGAAAACTTATATGAAAGCTGAGATTTGCAGACATTTGTATATTTGATGCAGTAATATACTTCAATAGGCAATGGATAAGGCTGATGTATCTGATGCATTAATTTTTCTCGATGATCGATTTATTTCTTCTGCATTTAGGCTTCGTTTGACATTTTTTTTACTGCTTCTTGAAGTAATTTTTTGATAAAAAAATTTTAATTTTTATATTAGAAAACTATTTTAAGAAGTAATGAAAAATCTATCCCGATTGAGCTAATAGACTTTGTTTGAGATAGCTTATGTCTCATAAAAAAATTTAAACAAGATCCTAAGGAGCACTAACCCCTATTAAAATGGCTTGAGAGGTAAATAAAAATAAATAAATAACAAAGCCAATAAAAAAAAATTGTATAAGATTATGTAACAATCATACAACAAATATTTTTTTTAAAAAAATATGAAATAGTCTAGTGGAAGTGGAGACCACAAAAATCTCATTAAAAAACACTTTGAGATTTTTATCCACGCTTGAATGATTAGTGATTGTGATTGGCGAAGAGATTGTACTGATTTGTAATTTATGGCATCTACTGAAGAAAAAAAAATCATCAAAAACACAAGAACATGAACTGCTACAGGTAAAACCTCTCCGCTTCAACATGAAGAAGACGGTGGATAGCTGCCGGAACCGGTCCACTCCGGCGGCGGCGGCGAGGTAAACCATTCTCGAGTTTCCGATGCGCTTACAGTCACCTCCTGCTGCCCCGCCGCCGAGTAAAACGGAGGAAAATAACTCGCCGACGAAGAATCTCCCATCACCGCCTGAGAACCCAATGATTCTGCAGACGCAACTGAAGAACTTGAACTCATAAATTGTTCTAACAACACACTTCTCTGCCTTCTTTGGTTCTCCGCTATCTCCTGCAACGATCTCGAGTACTCCAAGTAGTCTCCTGTACTATCAGCTGACTGGAATCTTATCAGAGTTTGAGGAACAGAGCCAGTAGCCTGAAAAAATGGCTGAGGCTGCCGGAGCCGGACATTTTCCGGGAAGTTAAGCTTTGCTCTGTTCCCTCTAAACCGCAGAGCTGCTTCATCGTAGGCTCTGGCGGCGTCTTCCGCCGTATTAAAAGTGCCGAGCCAGACACGAGCGGCCTTCACTGGATCTCGAATCTCGGCCGCCCATTTCCCCCATGGCCGTTGCCTTACTCCTCTGTACCGTGGCCGAATATCAGTCTCTGTATCAGGATGAGCAGAGGATTGTGCTGTCATTTGGAAGCTCGCTGTCATCAGATTGTGTAGAATTATAAGAATTTATGATAAAAAGTTTAGCTTTGTGATGTTTTTGAAGAAAATATTCAACTTTTTAAGTGTTAGGAGGTAAAGTTCGAATCTTTGGACACGTGGACTTATGGAATATCATTGCTTAGAATTAGGATGAGAAACTACGACAAAATAGTTAGTTTTGTACTTTTGTGCTCTTTTTTAAGAAAATATTCAACTTTTAACTCTAAGGGGTCCGATTTTGTGTTCTACCCATAGTTGTTTAGCTTGGTAGGTGGATGAGTATGGTTGAGAACTCCTCAACCTGTGCTTGATAGTGTCTCTTAAGTAGGACCCAATCGATTGCGGGCTAGGAAGTTTCTGGGTTGGGTGTATCTTCTAGGTCAGCCGAGGATTAGTCACGCTGTCAAACGCCTTTTTAGGAGCGGGTGGATACCCCGTTCCAAAAAAAATTGTCTTTTGAGTAAATATATGGATTTTAAGTTTTTTTTTATATACTTTCTAGCTAATTAAAAGAATACTCACACATATATAACATATATAAATTTCAAATATAAGACCTCTTAGTTGATAGTTAAACTCTTAACCAACAAAACAAGATGAGTTGAGTGCAACTTTTAAGTGTTAGGAGGAAAGCTTCAATATTTGAATATACGATGAACTTTTATTTGATCGTTGTCTAGCAATATGATAGGATGGTTGAGAGGAAAGATAAGATTAAGAGTACACAAATACATACACACACATATTCACTTAAGGATAAGATTATTTTTATGATTTTCATTAGATTTTGATGATTTTGAGTGTGTTTATATCATTTCTTATCATTATCATCAAATTTTGATTGTTTGACACTATCATTGATTTTGACTTAGATTTAATCATTTAGAAAAGAAAGTATTAAAATTGGTTGAAATATTATCTGACCAATTTTGAAAATTTTGAACCATAAATAATTTTAAATTCAATCTAGTTAGGAGAAAATTTAAATTAGAATATTTTGATAAAATTTTAATTTTAAATTTATATTTAAATAAATATATTATATAAATAATTAACCAATTTAGTTCTTACACTAATTTCAAAATAAAATTCATTCAAATTAAATATTTTATAACTATAAATTAATTTTAAAAAATAAAAGTATATTTATCCTCACCTCCAACATTTGAAGACGTCGCTCCCGCCGAGCTTCGAAACTCACCAAAGCCTCTATTAAACCGTTTCAGCTCCGGCGACATCTCCTCCCCCTCTCTCTTAACTCCGCCACCCCATCCCATAGAAGAACCTGAAACTGGCCAGCCGCTGGCCACCAAATGCTCTCCGCCTCCGCCGACGTTGATTGCTTGATGATCACCAGCGACAACATGAGTGAGAGCGGAAACAATCACTGACATCTCCATCTCTCTATCAAATTTCGAAAACATGGAGAAAGACGTAGCCGCCGGCGGTGGCGGAGGCACCGCCACCGTGACCTCCGCCGTATTGGCGGTCTGCTCCACCTCCTCCTCCTCCGCTCCCGCCAAGAGAAACCTCTCAATATCATCGGATTCGCTTTGCCGCGCCACGGTGTCACAGTTTAAGAGAAGAATTTTGTAAATTAATTGTGTAGATTTTCTTGCAATTCAACCCTTTTGAACTTCGAATGCAAGGAGAGCAAAGGGTATATATAGAAAAAAATAAATTAATTAATTTAGGCGCCGCCTTTTTGGTCGGGAAGAAAAAAAAAGGATGAGCTAAGAAGAAGGGGTCTTATCGAAATTTTGAATTTGCATGTTTTGTTGGTTAATTATTTTTGGAAAAAAGAGATCTGGTCAACGGCTTCACACGGGTTTGACCATCGTAACGGGTAAGAAACGGGCGATTGTTTATTAGATCGTTTTCTGGGTGGTGGGAGGTTGGCGACGGGCCGACGGCAAAGGCCGACATAGCAAGCCGACAAAATGGGCGACTTTATAGTTTAATGAGAGAGAAATCTAAAAGAAACGAAGTTTACTGATTACATCACGACGGATTTAATAATTATCGAGTTTATCTTAAAATTAGTACTAAATATAATATTTAATAGTTATATTAGGCTTTTTTTTTATTGTCTACGATTTTTATTTGGTCATTAAATTTTTTTTTATACTAAGAAGTTATTTTCAAAAATAATTTTTAAAAAATAACTTATAACTATTTGTTAAATTTTTTTGGTGAAAAGTTTTATGTGAGAATATTTTCACTAAAATTTTATCATAATTGATTTGAAGCTTCTTGTATATGCTTTGAGATTGTTGTAATATTAAATTTATATTGCATTATTTTCAAAGCAAATTCAAGAACTTTAAAATCTATTATGATGAAAAATTTGAATAAAATATGTTAACATAATGTTTTTGTGAGAAAAATAATTTTTTTTTGTACAGGACAATTGTCATCAAAAAATAAAAAATCATTAATATCAAATTTTATTATTTATGTTGAGATGAGTTCAAGATTAATATTTTGTATTGTACATATCTCAAAATAAATTTAGGGATTTTTGAAATTCTTAATTTTTAAAATTTTGGTTAGGACATTATGATTAATTCTTCTTAAAAAAATTGAATTAGGATATGTTGTCAAAATTTAATTAGAAAGAATATTAAAATTTAAAATGTATTTTAATATGATTGTAATACATAATTATTTTTTTATTTCTCTTATTATGTGTGAATATCATTGAAATTTCTCTCTTGATATCATTATAGCATGCCCCAAGCCTTATTATTATTGTTTATTTTCTAAAAATATATGATATTGATATTATTGTAGATGAAACAAAGAATAAGTCACACAAAAAACTAATCCCTTACTTTTTAGATTTAATTTTATCTATTTACATATTAAAATATTAATTATATAATTGATTAAGTCTTCAATAAATATGATTTATTTAAGATAAGTTCAATTTCTCTTGACTATCATTAGACATTGCTTTCTTCCTGCTTTCTAATTAAGCAACTTTTTAAAGCAGTAAGGAAGTTGTCCAAAACGAAGCCTTATATTTTCTTAAAGGATTCATGTCATTATTATTCGACAAGTTTTATGCTGGCTGTCGACTACCTAATGCAACCCTCCACTTTTCTAATACAGGATTTGGGACCTCACAACGGTAGTGTTAAATTTAAAAATTAAAAGGATGAGGAAAATCACATACCATCTGAGTTTAGAATGATGAAACTATTCCTTGAAATATGAAAAGAGTTATCCCTAAGACCTGAATTGAGGAAGAAGATATGGATCAAAGCCTTAAATCATGGATCTACAATTGAAATTGGAAAAGAGGGCTGACCATACTTGAATTTGAAGGAGGTGGGGTCATCCACACCTTATGCCCTCTACCTTGTAATTAAAATAAATGATTAAATTAATTTTAATGATCATATAAAGAATGAGGCTGAAACAAAATATAATTTGATATAATAATGACCTCTTCACTTGTTGAAATATTTTAATTTGAGATATGCTATACCAATATATTAGTTGAATTCTATTATTTGAAGTATATATCATATATTTGTTAATGAAACATTAGAAAATAGCAACCAAGATTTTTCATCATAAGAATTCTTTTAGCTTATGTGGTAATTAAATACTTTCTCTATGAAAATTTATTGATATTATATTTGACATCAAAAGCAAATAAAAAATTCAAAATATTTAAATTTATGGCTATAAGTTTATAAATTCTCATGTGTTGTTAAACTATTAATATTTATTTATTTTTTTATAAATTTCTTTTATAGTATAATGCTAGACAAAATTAAATAATTAAAAAAATACAAGGAAAATTATAGTATCTTTATGGTTTTGCATTATGTATGGGTTGTATATGAATAAATATAAAATAAGAATGACTCAAATGCTTTATGATGATGAGAACAATCAACACCTTCTTTCAAGGAAAGAATAAAGTCTCATCATATTGAAAACTAGCTTTGACCACCTTTGATAGTTGAATTCTTGTTGGAGAATTTTTTATAATTTATGGAAAAAATTGTAAAGTGCAAGGGAGAATTATGCCTCTCCCTTAGCCCTAGAGGGGATACTTATAGATCTAAGAGCGGAAGGAAATCTGAAATAATTTAAAAAAAAAAAAAATTGGATGCTAAATTAGAAAATCTACTTTTAAATAAATTTTATGGAGAAAAATTGTAAAGTGCAAGGGAGAATTATGCCTCTCCCTTAGCCCTAGAGGGGATACTTATATAGATCTAAGAGAGGAAGGAAATCTGAAATAATTTTTTTTTAAAAAAATTTTGGATGCTAAATTAGAAAATCTACTTTTAAATAAATAAAAAGGGCATTTATGACGGTCATCCAACCATTTTCATAATACCGCTTTCATTGAACTGCCAACATTAGACCACCATTATCTAAACATTATAGTTGAACTTTCTCCCTCCAACATTATCACCTTACAATGATCCTTCGATCACTATTAACAAATTACAATCCAACCATTGCTATCAAATTATGATCATTCAACCATCCTCACCCAACTATGATCCTCCAACCAATGCCCCTAACTACGATCTCCCAACTACATTCTACTGACCACCATAACCCAACTATGATCGTTCAACCACCATTGATTACAATTTTTTCAACCACCAACGTTTGACTACGATCTCCCAAATACATTCTTTTGATTATAGTCATCTAACCATCATCTCCTAATTATGGTTTATCGAACATCGTCGCCCACATACGATGCCCCAACCACCATCGTCCAACCACATCCGATCATTATTGCCCAACTATGGTCCTCTAATGATTTTTAATTGTCTTACTAAGGTCTCTTAATAGTCATCGTCTGACTACAATTTCCTAAACATCAAGGTCTGACTATGGGCTTCCAGATCAATATTGTCAAACTATAATCCTTAGACTACCGTCTCCTGACTACAATCCTCTAAACATTATCACTCGACTACAATCTCTTGACCAACATCACTTGATTATAGTCTGTCGATCATTATTGCCCTACTATAGTGTCCCAACTCCCAACAATGAGAATGCATGTTAACACCTACAAGGACAATGCGCAACATTGACAGCAATGTTGATGCTGCTAATGTTGTCGCCACGAACATCTACGCATGTCAGCGCTTATTGGAAAGCGTGCCATTAACATCAACTTTGATTCTGACATCAACACTAAGATTTATATTCTACTTATGGGTCTCTAATCTTCTCTTTGAAAATGACATACACTAGTGGAATCATTTCAAATGAGTCAGGCACAATGATTCTTTTTATTTTCATTTCTAGTTTAGGATATTAAAACAATGCGTCTCCCCCAGCCTCCCATTCTTCTTTTATTTATACGTGTGATGAATCTTTGTAAAAGATTAAGACGATAAACACTCTAATTAACTCCTGCCATAATGTTACACTTTTCCAGCATACAAATTTATAATTTTAAATAAAACTTTATATAATAGTCAACGACTCCAAAAAAAATTTCAACTTTTTTTGCACCAATTGCTCATAAAAATTTAGAAATGCAAAAAGTTTTGTAAAGAAATTGCGAGTAAAAATTATTGAGTTGACCCAAAAAAATTTCGTGCAAATGGAAATTATCATTTTGGCCCTTCGTTTACTTTCCACATTAATATTAATTGTTGAAATTGAAAAAATAAATGTCAACCCAAATGAAAGCCACATTCGATATTAGTCTACGATTTTTTTTTGTCAAATAAGGAGAATTTATTTAATTATTATTTTGACTCAGTTGCAAGATCTCTTCAATCCTGTTGGGCTGTCACGACCGTTCAATGGCGGGGGCACGACCGCATAATTCTCGCGGAATGGAAATGCGCCCACTTGGCGGCAATGGATGCTTCCAATAATTATTATGCGAATTTTTCTTTTGTAGTGTATTTTACTATTTTTAGCTTTTTTTTAAATTTTGTTCCTATTTATATTTATAAATCTATTATATTTTTTATTTCATGAAATATATATCATAAATATTTTTAGATAAAATCAATGTTTTGAAAATCGGACCGGACCGGCCGGTTCAACCGTGAACCGTCGTGAAGCCCGGTTGGTTTGGCCCGGTCCGTATCAAACAAGCTTCAAAACCGGCTCTGCATATTCAATTCGAACTGAATCAAACTGGTTGAACCGGCGGTTTCAACCGGTGAACCGTTGAACCGGTCGGGTTGGAAAGAGCCGGCTGGTTTTATAAAATATTTTTATTTTTATTTTAATTAAAATTTTAAAAAATATATTTTGGCTTATTAAATTTTTTTAAAACTTTCAAAAAATTTTTATTAAATATGATGAATTAAGTTCACCATAATCATGCAAGTTTATCTTAAATACCTCACATAATTTGTTTTGCAAAAAAGTGTACTTCTCTCTTTATATAGGGTTCAAGAAAACATCTCTTTATATATTATTTTAAATGATATTTATATTTATAATTTTGTATTATATATATTTTAAATTTATAAATATTATTAAATGGTCATATATATTAATTATTCTATTATTTAATGATCATAAATTTTTTATATTAT